TAATTAGCTACAGACTCCTGATTTCACACTTGTGGAGTCCTGATTGGCACCACAGATATTCACCCTCAGGCCTCTCCCACACCTCACACATCCCCCCGTGCACCCAGGGCTGTTTTGCAGCCTGCTCACACTCTGTGCCCACCCAGCCTTCTCTTACCTCTCTTTTTACCTGATCTTCCCTTTGAGGTGTTGAGGAAAATCTGCATTGCCCTGCCAGGAGCAGCTGTGCTGTGCTCACATTGCTGCTGCAGGCAGGGCTGGGGGATCCTGGAATTGGGAATTTGGGTTGGGAGGGGCCTCAAACCCACCCAGTGCCCCCCCTGCCATGGCAGGGACACTCCCACTGTGCCAGGTGCTCCAAACTCTGTCCTTGGGCACTGCCAGGGATGCAGGGCAGCCACAGCTGCTCTGGGCACCCTCCCAGGGCACAATTCCTCCCCAATATCCCATTTAACCCCCTCTGTTTCACTTTGAAGACTTGAATCATCCCATAAGAGTGGATTTTCCCCTTGGAAGTGGGGCAGGGAGCTGTGGGGCAGTTGCTGCTCCCCTGGTGTCCCTGTGCTGTGCAGGGCTCTGGGCTGCAAACAGCAAAGGGGTTCCCAGTGTCTCTTGTGACACCCCATCTGTGGCTTCCTCCCAAATTTAGGTTTAGGTGAAGCCACCAAACAGCAAACCCTGGTCCCCACCCAGGCCCCAAACAAATAGAAATTTTTATTTCAGTGGCAATGCAGTGTTTGTACCAATGGCCTGAACAATGACCTTGTTTGGCTGCAGAGTTCTGTGCCTCACTTGGTTATTTGCCCATTAATACAAATGCTGTCAATTATAAAATATTTAGACACTTATTGATGGGGAAATTGCCTGCACAGTGCTGAATTTAATGTGAAAGAAACAAATCTGTCTGTAATTGGCAGAATATGCTGTGTGGAGTTGACTTAGTGGGATAACTCCTGTTCTTAGGAATTCAAATATTTGTCTTAAATATATGAGGATTTCCTAACACATCTTTGAGCAAATGGCAATCCTACAGTGTCTGTGAACTTCTCGATTTTCCTGCAGAAAAACTGACTCAATAAATCCATAATAATGATACCTTTAGATGCAAAATATATAATTTAGCCTGCCGTTTCTTAGACCCTCTAGAGGGAAACTGCACATATCTTGTTCAGCCCAGCACTCTCCTCAAGGAAGAAACATTTCTTATTATGAGCAGGTTGTATGTTGGTAAACAAGAGGTGATTACATGTTTGTATACAAGTGGTGATTACATGCTGGTATATAAGAGGTGATTACATGTTGGTATACAGGTGGTGGCAGTTCCCTGCAGCCCTGCCCAGGGGCAGATTCCCGGCTGGAAATGTTGCTCTGGGTGCTCCTGGATGGCTCCTGCTGGAGTTCTGACCCTGGGGTGGCTGAGCATCACTTCAGGGCTCCCTTCTCATCAACATGCTTGTGTCTGTCCTGCTGGTTGCAGTGCAGCCCTGTTCTTCCCCTCCTTTCCCCTTTCCCCTTTTCCCTTTCCCCTTTTCCTTTCCCTTTCCCTTTTCCCTTCCCTTTCCCTTCCTTTCTCCTCTCCTTCCTTCTTCCTTTCCCCTTCCTTTTCTGTTTTCTTTTCCCTTTCCCTTTCCCTTTCCCTTTCCCTTTCCCCTTCTCTTTCCCTTTTCCTTCCATTTCCCTTTCTTTCCCCTTCAATTTCCCTTTTCCTTTCCCCTTCTCCTTCCATTTCCCCTTCTCTTTCTCTTCAATTTCCCTTTTCCCTTTCCCCTTTCCCTATCCCCTTCTCCTTCCATTTCCCTTTCTTCCCCCTTCAATTTCCCCTTTCCCTTTCCCTTTCCCTTTCCTTTTCCCTTTTCCCTTTCCCTTTCCCTTTCCCTTTCCCTTTCCCTTTCCCTTTCCCTTTCCCTTTCCCTTTTCCCTTTCCCTTTCCCTTTCCCTTTCCCTTTCCCTTTCCTTTTCCCTTTTCCCTTTTCCTTTTCCCTTCCCTCCCAGCTGGCTCTGTAGCTGTGAGCATTCCCTCTCTCGCTGCTGTTTTGGGGTTCAGCCCCATGGACATTCCCTCTTTTCCTTCCCACCAGGGCCAGCCTTGCTGTGACCCTGCATCCCTGGGTCCGTCAGTGCCCCACAGAATTCCAGAGAGGAATCAGAGCTGAGGGTGTGCACAAACCCTGGGGCTGAGCAAACCCACCCCTCTCCTGGGTAACCTGGTGCCACCAGGGGTCAGGGATCTTTGGGGGGTTTATGGACTCTCTTCCTGCACTGAAAATTTGGCTTTTTTCCTCATTTTTGTGAAGATTTCCATGCCAGGAGCAGCCTGGGGCAGTGGGAGGTGTCCCTGCCACGGCAGGGGTGGCACTGGCTGACCAAGGTCCCTTCCAACCCAGCCCAACCCATGATTCTCTGAATTGAGAGGCTTTTCCCCAGTGTTAGGCTCTGTTTTCAGCTTCCTGAGCCCCCAGACTGGTTTGCTGTGTGTGGTGCTCTGACAGAAGCAAACATGATTCCCAGTGATCTCTCCAGATTTTATTCAGCAGAGGATGTTTTGCTTAGAGGCAAAGCACTGCATCAGTCCTGCTAAAATTGCTTTCAAAAGAGAAAAAAGGACACCAGAGAAATAAGGAGGACATCAGGTGCAACAAGAGCTAAATACACAATAACCTGAGGCAGAACATCGTGGCAAACCATGCTCCAGAGTGTAGGGATACAGAACACTGAGGAAAAGCAGAGATTTTTTACAACAGGCAGGTACAGACTTTGCACACCACAGAAGTTTTGTGGTTCCCCGTGCTGATTTCACCTCCTTGTGCCACCTCAGCTGCTGCAAGGGGGGACAGGCTGGGCCAGCAGGACACAGCTGAGCTGGGCTTGGGGACACACACACACAAAGCTGAAAGCTTTTGGCTCTGCCAGGCAGTGGGATTGTCTTTGGTCTCTTCTTGAAACGGGGAGAATTTCCATTTGTGCCTGCTCTGCTCCACAGTGAGGTTTTGCTTTTCTTATTATTTTAATTTGAGGTTTTGCTTCTTTTATTATTTTAATTTGACCTTTCTAAAATGAAGGGTTGTAGGATTGGGTAAGTGCTGGAACAGAGGGTGTGCTGGAAAGGGGGAAGTCTGGAGGATGTGATTATGAGAGGAAGTGAGAACTCAATTAGGGAATTTTGGGTGTGATCAGAGGGCAGGAGAAATAGGGAACATGAGGTTGCTTTGTGGTGGGACAGAGTGTGGCTGGAGCACAGAGTGCTCCAGTGCAGTAGTTTTAGGTGAATAAATAGCTGGGGATTTGCTCACCAAGTTGCACAGGTAATATGCTGGGATAGGAGAACTGGTTCTTGGCCCCAGGAGGATTATCCAGCCCATAGGACTGGGAAATGGGGCCGTTCCTGTGGGATGCTGAGGATCAAACACAGGCCAGGAGGTGCAGGGTGGGAAATGTGACTCCCCAGAGGCAGCAGGGCTGGGTCTGAAGCCACTGAAACAGCAGCACCAGAGTGGGGCAGAAATGGGGACACGGGAGCTGGGGAAGCTCTGGGTGCATGAACAGATCCTCATGAACAGATTCTCACCTGGCAGAGGGCAGTCCCAGGAAAAAAACAACAATAATAATATCTACCCAGCAATTCCACCCAAAATAAGAAGGAATAGGACAGAGAGTTTTAAGTAAATGAGATCTTTGAGATGTTTGAAAGCATCAGATAGCTCTGAGGGTTTGGGGATCCCCCCCTGCTGAAAGCGAGGTACCAGCAAGGTGCCAAGCAGCCTTTGGGATGGCTCAGGTGCTCTCAGCCTGTCCCCAGGGTGGTGTCACTGCCCGTGCTGTGTCTGCAGCAGCCCCAGCTCGGGGACAGGGAGCTGGCTGAAGGCACTGCAGGGTTTGTGGGTTTGTCCTGCAGAAAGCAAACACTGAACTGCTGTGGCTGCAGGAGCTTGCTGTGCATGGCACTGACACCCAGGGGCTGGAGAGGGCGGCACACAGCCCTGGTGCTCTCCTGTGCCCAGGGCAGCAGCCCCCAGCCCTGAGAGCAGCCTGCAGCTGAAGGAAGGGCGTTTATTATTGTTCTGCCCCAGGAGATTTATTTCTCAATGGGTAAAGTCCTCTCTGCCACACACATCTGACTCCTTCCAGCTGCTGAACTTAGAGGTGGGTATTTCTAAGGACTCCCTGCAGATTTTACACAAAGCTGCATTCAAAGTGTTTTGCATTTTAGCTCTTTCTGCTGTTCAGATCCGTGGATCTCATTAGTGAGGATTTATCAAAAGGAGGCTTCTATGAGTTTTTACAAACGTAGCAATTACTACATTGATCAGGGCATTCCAGCTTTACAAAAATAATCAGAAATTCAAGGGTATAGTACTCTTATATTACAATAAATAATGCAAAAGCCTTCACATGAGCCAATCCTATCAGGCAGCTGTTGAAGCCATGCTGTCACTGACACTGTAGTGGTAACTGATTTCAGAGCAATAGAATTGTTTGCTTTCACCCTTTGAAAACTGTACTCAGGCTGCTTTATGGCAATCAGCAAAAATATCAGTCTATTCTTTCATTAAAAGGTGGGTGCAGAACAATGCTGTTACCTGCTGGTGTTTGGAAAAATAGCTTTCCACAGAGGTTACTAATGAAATCTTTTAGAAAACACTGACTTGTTGGAAGTGGCACTGACATAAAGCAACAGGCACAAACGAATGCTAGAGGGAATGTTATCTCAGTCTCTAGAAAGTGGCATTCCCTTTCAGGATCCCTTTCTCCCAGTAAGTGTTTTGTAACCACTCTGGATTTCCTTCCATTATAGCTATTTAAAAAACTTCAAATAATTCAGTTGAAACCGGTTTTCACTCTAAAAAGTAGGAAACAAGGGATCATGTAGGAGGCTTTTGTCTTCCCTGCACCCTTCCTTCAGGCACTGCGTTTAAAGTGAGCTGCTCTGCAACTCAACATCTACATAAACATATTTATATTTATACACCCATGCCGTGTTTTTTCCACCCAAAACCAGGTGTTTACAGCATGCACTGTCCCACACTCATGCCATAGCAGCAACACACGATTTCTTTGAAAGTCTTCCTCATCTCCAGGCTCCTGAAGGCGTAAATGAGCGGGTCAATGACGGAGTTGCACATGATCAGCACCAGGTAGGTGTTGAAGTGCGCCGTGTAGCAGATGCAGTAGGGGTTCATGGGGCAGGAGATGATGAGGATGAGGTGGAGGAAGAAGGGCGCCCAGCAGACGATGAAGACCCCCAGGAGGATGGTGATGGTGACGGCGCCCTTCATGCAGGTGCGCTGGGGGGGCACGCCCTCGACGGGCAGCGCCGCGATGCGCTTGACGTGCAGGCGGGCAAACAGGAACATGTGCACGTACAGCGAGGCCATCAGCAGCAGCATGGTGAAGAACATGGTGATGAGACACACAATGACAGTTTTGCTCTCCGAGTAGGCAATGAAAATGATGCCACAGATGATGCACGCCACCCAAATGAGCACAATGAGGGTCAGGGCTTTCTTCACCGTCATGATGCTGTGGTAACGGAGGGCATAGAAAATAGTGATGTACCTGTCGATGGCTATGACCAAGAGGTTGCAAATGGAGGCTACCAGAGAAATACAAATCATGGAGTCAAAGACATTGTCCATGTGCTGGATGAAGTGGTCGTCGATGATCAGGTAGCCGTTGCTGAGGATGGCGATCATCACGGTCTCCAGGGCGTTGGACATGCTCACCAGCATGTCTGCCACGGCCAGGCTACAGAGGAAGAAATACATGGGGGAGTGCAGGTTGCCGTTCTTCAGCACTGCCAGGATGACCAGGATGTTCTCCAGCAGGCTGATGATGCCCAGAGTGAGGAAGACCTCGGCTTTGATGAAGACCTGCTCGCAGAACCCGTCGCCGCTGCGGTTGGTGGGGACGGAGTCGTTGAGGTCCTCGCTGGCGTTCAGCAGCAGGGGCTGCAAGGAGAATGCAGAGCGTGTGGTGTTCATGGCCAGCACAGCAGCTGGGCTCACCCCTGGCTGGGCACCTGAGGCAGCACAGGTTAAAAAGAGAAAAAAAAATACAAAATGGAAAGCAGGTCCTTCCAAGTTGCTGCTGTGCATGTGGGGTGCGATCAAGCAGGACTTGAGTCACTTTTACACGGGCAAACATCAAACAATCTGCATTTACAGTGGGTTCTATGCCAGGCTGCTCTTTCCTTTAGAAGAAGGTGATCTCCCAAGCCTGTGGGCAGCAAAGAGCTGTGTCTGCAGGGAGGAATCGGCAGCAGGACATGGCTGGGCTCAGCTCTCCTGGTCATGAGAAGCAGAGAGTTTCCCCTTCTGCCGGGGCAGCCAGCATGCTGCAGCTCAGCCCAGCATCTGCTGCTATTTCCGTGGCAAGGAAGGAGCCGAGAACGAAGGGATTTATAGATGCAAGAAAGAAAAACCAGCTCCTCCTGCAGCGTGCGAGCGGAGCATTGGCCATTGAGAGCGAGCACCTGGGTGAGTGACAGCCCGAGCACCTGGAGCGGCATCCCGAGCATCCCAAACCGTCTGGCGCCCTCTGCAGAGCCCGAGCAGCCCGGACCTGCCCCAAAACCCCTCTGGGAAACGTCAAATCCATCCCGAAACACTTCCTGCCCGCTCCGTGGCAGGGTTTGGGGCAGGCAGGGTGCTCGGACACCCTCCGTGCACCTTTGGGTGGCCGCTAGCACTGGCCTGAACTGGGATTGTTCCCATTCAAACCTCGGCAGGACTGAGGAGATTTTCATTTATCACACGTGAGCAGGCAAGCATAAGGTAGATTTTCCTTGCACTTCATTCCTTGCGTATTTCTGTGGTGCAATTTTCGTAATTTGATTTTTTAAAAGCGCTTGCTGATGTCTGAACCCTTCCCACCTCATGTTTTTGCAGAAACACTTTGGAATCATTAATGTTTGGGGCTTCTGTGCAGTTTTCTTAGTTTGATTTTTTAAAAGCACTTGCTGATGTCTAAACCCTTCCCACCTCGTGTTTTTGCAGGAACAGTTTGGAATCAAGTGTAATGTCACTAATATCAATGTTTGGGGCTTCTGCTGCAGGTTTGTTAGCTTTAAAAAGTCACAAATCTCTCCCAGTTTCATTGTGAGCTCACAGAATTACTGCCTTGCACCCACAATTCAATACCAAGAGGCAACACTTCTCAAATTTAACCTGCAGGTGACAGATTTACAAGGACAGGGTCCAGTGCAGCAGTTTAAAGTGAATAAATAGCTGGGGATTTGCTCATATTACCAAGTTGCACAGGCAATATGCTGGGATAGGAACTCATTAAATGTGTTGCATCATGAATTTCTGAACGTATGTGACAGCAGGACAAGCTACCGTTTGCACTGAGGTGCCATTTGAGGTGGAAATGGAATTTCGTACACCCAAGTGGATTAATGGCACCATCAGCTTTGCCATTAAGCACTAAAAATAGTGGGATGGAGCCTCCTGTGTGACAGCAAACTCACAGTGAGGCCAGTGCTGAGCGGGGAGAAGCTGTGTCTGCACCAGAGACAGCGACGTGGCAGCCCTTACTCCCAAAGGATTTCTCTGCTCAGCCCTGGAAAACCTCAGTGATCTGAAATGTCATTAAATATTTTGTGTTCTCCTTATTTTCCAAAGGATTTCTCTGCTCAGCACTGGAAAACCTTGGTGATCTGAAATGTCACCAAATATTTTGTATTCTCCTTATTCCCAAAAGGATCTCTCTGCTCAGCACTGGAAAACCTTGGTGATCTGAAATATCACAAAATATTTTGTATTATTTTCCAAAGGATTTCTCTGCTCAGTACTGTAAAACCTCAGTGATCTGAAATGTCACACAATAGTTTGTACTCTTATTTTCCAAAGGATTTCTCTGCTCAGCTCTGGAAAACCTCAGTCATCTGAAATGTCATTAAATATTTTGTATTCTCCTTATTTCCAAAGGATTTCTCTGCTCAGCACTGGAAAACCCCTATAATCTGCCACAAAATATTTTGTATTCTCATCTAATAAATTGCTGCTCCTCAGCTGCCCGTTCCTGCTTCATGTCCAGGGATCCAGGGAGTCACTGGGATCATTGCAATGTAAAAACAATGGCAATTGCAATTACTGCAGAGCAGGCAGGTTGCTCTCACATCCACCCCAGTGCTGCAGTGGATTTGTGTCCTGGATGTGCAGGACCCAATTCCCATTCCTTTCTTGGCCACAAAAATGAGATTTCCTGGGCACAAAGATGGATTTGTCAGCTTTGCACCGCCAGACCTTTCCTTCAGCAGCAGCCTCTGGTCCAGCCCTGCCACCATCTCTGCTTCTCTGCCCTTCACTGTCTGAGCCTTCCAAACTTGAAATTATTATCCAGCCCAGGAGTCTCTAATGAAAGTTTTGTGTGCTTCAATCACAGCAGATGGGTCCCTTAAAGAATCCTGAGCAGCCCTTAAATAGAGGTCAGGACAACCTGCCCCGAGCCCACAGAGATGCAGCGGGTTAAATGTGGAAATTAGATTTATGGTGATGTCTCTTACATTGCTCTCATTTGTGTTCTGTCCTAAAATAACTCCTTTCCTAAGAAAAATAAGCTGTAAATAAAAGGATGTCAGCACAGTTAATGAAATATTGGCTGTGATGAAGGCAAAGCAAAGGTTTGGCTGCTTTACCCACCAGCAGAAATGAACAATTTTCCCAGGTAGGAACCTCTGCCATATTTTACAAAGCAGTTAAAAGCAAGGCTGATTTTCTTTTTTTAAATGCTGTTATTGCTCAGTTGTTTCTTCACTAGTGAAACTATTTAATCCTCAGGGAAAGGTAAAGGGAAAGTAGCATTTACTGCTAAATGTGGATCATGGAATTTCCTAAGAGAAATTATTGTTTAATGCTTGACATGAGACTGGGCTGATAATGGCTGATAAATGTGTATCACTTTCCTTTATTTTCACTCTTTTTAACAGTGGTTTCTGCCAGACAAAAGTGGAAATTTTAAAGGAAATTAGAGGATAATAAGCAGATATTTTCTCCCATGCAGCAGGGAATTATTGTTGTCCTGAAGTTTCAAGTAGCCGAACCAGTGAGTGAAAAACTCTCAAAGACTTTTCCTCTGTGTTGTTCTTTATGGAAAAGGACTTAAAAGTTGAAATATTTTCTCTCAGCAAAGTAAACAATGCTGATTTTGAATTCTGTGCACATTTCTGGAAGGGGCTGCCTCAGCACAGTTTAAATTAGTGATAATGAAATACTTGACAAAACAAAGGAAACTTCAGATCTGATTCAGCATTTGTACAACATGAACTGCTTGACTACTGACTTAATTCAAGAAAAAAATCTCTTTAATAATTTTCACTGAAACATGGAGATCACCCATTATGATAAAGAGCAGAAACACACTTTGGGACATTTTCTATGATCGTATAAAATGCTTATAAAATATATAAAATTATCTAAAATTATTTCTAACTCATGATTATAAAACAAAAAAAATTTAATAATTTTTACTGAAACATAGATAGATCACTTGTTACGATAAAGAGCAGAAACACACTTAGGGACATTTTCTATGATTGTATAAAATGGTTATAAAATATATAAAATGGTAAAAAATTATTTCTAATTCATTATTATTAAACTCAAAAAAGTCTGGACTTAGGAGCCTCACAAGAGCCTGGCAGGTGAGGAAGCAAAGACACGGTGATTTACAGAAATGCTGTGTTTTTCTTCAATATCTTGAGGAGACAGCTTTCCAAGAGCAATTTTTTGTCCTGTCAGAGTCACAGGCTTCAGGATCCCTTGCCACACCAGGTCTTGGGTGTAATAATGGAAAGATTTCCATGTCCTCCTCCAAGAAGTTGCAGTTCCTGCAGCTCCCAGCCATGCCCAGAGCTAACAATGTTATTTTCCAGTCTGTCAGCCTGAATCTGACATCAGCTGAGGTCAGAGATGTTAAATCTGCCTGCACCACATTGCTGGCAGAGGTTTCCACACTGGAAGGGCAAATCCTCACCTCACCCAGGAGCTGGATCCCTGCTGAAGCCGAGCACCAGGAGTTTGCATCCTCTGGGGTGTTATCCACTGAATGCTCCTTCATCAGTGAGGGGAAGGAGCACCAAATCCTGATTGCAACGAGGGGGCTTTCAGAGGAAGATTTCTATAATTTCAGCCAGTTAAAAGGTTAATTTAAACAGCCTCAACTTTGGGACATTTTGGGCAATTTTCCTTCCCATCCCTGCGTACGAGGAGACAAAGCAGACCTGATTGCAAAACACTCACCAGCACCTGCGGGTGCTTCTCATGTGAAAGGGAATTGAAGTGTTTCACACTGATAATGCTCAGTGTCAGTTCTGTTCTCTGGTTTGCAGAGTGAGAGACAAGCAGACGTGATTGATCCAGCTGCATTCTGCTCTTCAGCTTCATCCGGGCCAAACATCCCTGGAACATCTTCCCCACCTCCCTGGAAGCTTCAGAAACCCCCTTGCCCTGTGCTGCTGGGGCTCAGGGATGGCTGAATTTGGCATTTTCGAACCCCAGCAGCAGCACTGGGGTTTGAAAATGCCAAATCTTCAAACCTCATGCCTGGACCAGAGAGAGCTGAAGGATTTTGGAGGCGATGATTTTACTGAGCTGTGGGTGCTGTGGGTGGATGGATGTTGGGACAAATTGCTCTGTTAATGCTCAAAGCTCCTCCATTTGTTGCAGCACTTGCAGTCCAGTGTTTTCCAGACAAGGACAGAAAAAAGCCCCACAACCAGACCCAATCCTTTAATTACATTTACTAGTTAGTCTAACTGCTGCCTTTCTAATTTTGTCCAAGGGTTTCCTGCTCTATTCTTTTTGTGGGTTATAAAAATTCCAACTTCAGTGCTTTTATCTGCTTTGTTTTTGCCAGTAACTTCCAGGACAGAGAGAGACTGGTTATTTGTTATGGTTTGGGGATAACAAGGAATTTGCTGCCCTCCAAAATGTTGCTCCTCAACAATAAAATGGGATTTAAATGCTCTTCAGGTTTAGAGAAGTTGGTTTTTTTCCCAGATTCTGCAGTTTGCAAAGTGAGCCAGCTGTTTTGAGTAATGTCAGAATACAGGGTGTCAATACAGAATATTTTCTGTCAGAAACAGAAGCACCTT